TCTCAGAGATCAAACAGTCCAACCTCTGCCTGGATTTACATTTTTCCTAGACTGTTTAATCTGAGTTGAGTACAAGGATTTGGGGTTTTGCATTGTGCAAGGCGCTCCCTTAGAGGAAAAAAGTCTCTTTGAACTCCTGCTGAAACTTTGTGGTCCTTGAAGGTTGGAGCAACCTGGGACTGGCTGGGGGTGGCACTGGATGGGCTTTAAGGTCCCTCCCAGCCCAAACCAGTGTGGAATTCCATGGAGTGGAAAACTGGCTGAGTGCATTGAATGCCTGTTGAACTGTTCCAGACCCTGCTGTCCCAAGGGGGATGGGACCACAGGAGCATGGGAATAATCCCTGTTGAGCAGATATTTGAATGCTCTCTTCTGTGTGCTCTGAGCAAACCCCCTTCAGCTGCTGGCTTCTACATCCCAAAACTGCTGGGAGAATCACTGTTGGGGTTTGCACACTGTAAGGGAGGTGGGAACATGGATGAGGTCCCTGTGGGTCCATGGAGTCACAGGTTTGGGTTGGGAGGGACCCCAGAGCCCACCCATTCCCCCCCAGCCATGGCAGGGACACCTCCCACTGTCCCAGGAGCTCCCAATGTCCAGCCTGGTCTTGGGCACTGCCAGGGATCCAGGGGCAGCCCCAGCTGCTCTGGCAATTCCATCCCAGCCCCTGCCCACCCTGCCAGGGAACAATTCCTGCCCCAGATCCCATCCAGCCCTGCCCTCTGGGCTGCTTCCTGCCCAGAGCAAGACCTGGTGCCCTGGCTCTGCACCTCCCAGGGAAGGCGTTTGCCAGGGAAGGTAGGTCAGAAGGAATAGGAAAATGAGCAAAAACTAAAATCCCAATTCTGTTTGATGAATCCACATAATTTTTTGGAAAAATGGATTCATATGTGAATTTTGCATGTGCTTGTTGCTGAGTGTGGCACGTTAGACCTGTAGTTCTCTCTGTAGTAAACAAGCTGAACAGTGTCAGCTTGAACTATAAAAACACTCTGAGTCCTTTCCTGCCAGTGGGAATGGCTGGATACTCTCACAGCTCCATCAGGCTCTGATGTTTGGGAATCAGAGCTGGAAACTCAGGATTATTGCTGTGCCCTTTTGCCCTTGCTGTCTGTGCTGCTGCTCTGCAGCCTTGCAAGATGTCAGGGCTCCCAGGACTCCCCTTGCTATTCCAGAGGGAATGGAAATCTCTGGATACATCCCTCACAGTTTAATGCCTTCGTTAAAATTCCTGAAGTTGTCCTTGGTGTTTTTTAATTGAAACCCAGAGTTCCATGGGAGGAACCCTGAGCACGGAAGTTCAACTGAGCCCTTGTTTACACGGGTGAAATATGTAAACAGTTCTTTTTCCCCAAATATAGGGCTTTTTTCCTTGGCTGCCCTCCCGGTGTTTATAAAAGCCAGTTATGTAAATGACAATTGTAATAATTAAGCTGCTGTTTAGTGCTGTCCCCACGGCTGCTGCAGGGGCCGAGCTGCTGTTAACGAGTTTGGGGCGTTATTGAGGATAATGGGAGCTCACAGAAGGAAACCAAGGGAAATTAAACAAACAAAATCCTTGTTTGAGAGAATCTGCCATGAGAAAGGAAAGGTCTGGAATGAAATGATGTTACAGGGGAGCTCTGGAGATCATCGTCCCCAGAGCTGCTGGTCCAGGGCCGTGTCCCGTTGGGTTTTGGGGTCTCCATGGCCAGAGCCTCCACAGCTTCTCTGGGCAACTTGTGCCAGCCAGGACCACCACAAGACACTTCTTCATCATCTGTTGTAAAACCACCCCAAACCGCCTTCTGTGGTAGGTGAAAATGGCTGCAGATTGCACCGGCGAGGTGCAGGTTGGACATTGGGAAGAATTCCTGAATGGAAAATGTTGTCCGGCGCTGGCACAGGTGGAGTCTCATCCCTGGATGATTTCACAGCCCTGCGATGTGGCACTTGGGGACATGGTCAGTGCTGGCCTCGGCACTGCTGGGGAACGCTTGGACTCAATGGTGTCCAAGGGCTTTTCCAACCTCCATGTCTCAGTGGAATTCCAGCTCTGTTTTGGCACTTAGGCCTCAGTGTCCTTTGGTGATGTGGGTGGTGGCACCTTAGGGGTGGCAGCAGGAGCCCTGACAGAGGCTGCAGAGTGTCTTTGTGGGGACAGCGAGCCCTGAGGGGCTGAGGGTGGCGGGAGGAGGATGGGGAGAGGAGAGGGATGGAGGGATGGAAAGGCCGGGAGGGATGGGAGGCTGGCAGGAGGGATGGAAATCCCTCAGGAGGGATGGAAATCCCACAGGGGGATGTGAGGGCGGCAGGAGGAGGAATAGAAAGGCCGGGAGGGATGGGAGACTGGCAGGAGGGATGGAAGGGCCCTCAGGGGGGATGGAAGGGCCCTCAGGAGGGGTGTGAGGGCAGCAGAAGGGATGGAAATCCCACAGGAGCCATGTGAGGGCATCAGGAGGGCTGTGAGGGCAGCAGGAGGGATGGAATGGCCCTCAGGAGGGATGGGAGGGCGGCAGGAGGGATGGAAATCCCTCAGGGGGAATGGAGATCCCCCAGGAGGGCTGTGAGGCCCTCAGGAGCCATGTGAGGCCCTCAGGAGGGCTGTGAGGGCAGCAGGAGGGATGGAATGGCCCTCAGGAGGGCTGTGAGGGCAGCAGGAGGGATGGAAATCCCTCAGGGGGAATGGAGATCCGGCAGGAGGAATGGAAATCCCTCAGGAGCCATGTGAGGCCCTCAGGAGCCATGTGAGGCCCGCAGGAGGGATGGGAGGACAAACATGTTGATGTGCCCAGGTTAATGGCCCATCAAGAACAGCCCTTGGGAGGGACAGGAGACTCTTTGTTCTGCAGGGCAGATCCACCATTGAGTTGACGGCAGGAGATAAAGGGCCAGGAGCCGAGGAACAGCGGGATGGAGCCGGGAGGCTCCCGGTGACTCAGAGGGGCGCTGGGACTGAAGGTGAAGGTGATGGTGTTGTTCCTTCCCTCTCCAGGAGCCACAGCCCTGCTGAGGCAGCGAGCGGCTCTTGGGGAAGCTGCTGGAAGTTCTGGACAGGGAGATTTATTTAAACAAAGCAAATTTCGCACTCATTTTGAAGCTTTTGTTCGCTGAAGGTGTGTTGGAATAGCCTGATTGCAGTATTCCAGGCCTGCTTGGACAGGGCTTGGAGCAACCTGGGACAGTGGAAGGTGTGGATGAGCCATAAGGTCCCTTCCCACCCAAAGGATGATTCTGTGCTTTGATCTTTAGGCTTAATCTTCCATCAGGCTTAGGCAAAGTGGCTGGTGCTGGTCTTTGTTCCTTCATTTGGGTATTCCCGCAGCTGCAGCCCATGGAGATAAGAGGGAGAGGAAGGGAGATAACAGGGAGGGGAATGAATAGCCCATCCTGGCTGCTGAAGTTTTGGGACTGTTCTGTTATCAGATCAGAGTTGTCTGCTGATCACTTGTGCCCCATATTCAGGCTCTTTCTGGTCTTGATGAAAGCACCGAATTCCTCCCTGGGTTTGTTTTGATTGCTGTTGATGGTGTAGTTGGTTATCAGCACCTGGCAGCTCTTGAAACGCTTGTTTTATTGTCCTTACTGCTGCTCTCAGTCCATCTTCATTCCTGGCATCTGTGTTGGAAGTACCCAGGGGTTGTCCTTGGGGTGGCAAGAAATCTGGGCAGGGTCCCCTCAGTCCCTGACTCCCCCAGTCCATCATCCCTTCCATGCTTCATCCCTTCATGTCCCTTTCCCTGGTTGAGCCCCTTGGACAGCCGTGAGCCAGGGCTCAGGAGTTCCGTGGTCAGGAGGGGGTTAATCTGAACAAATCCACTTTTACAATAACACGACCTTCCCTTCCTTTAATCCAAACTTTGCTAGAGCGTTGCCACGTTCTCCCCTGCAACAACAAGCACAGGCTCGGAACAAGATAACCATGTAATATTTTGGGAGATAGCTTAGCCCGGCTTCATTTTTCCTTCTGGAGCCGGGTCCAAGGGCAGCATAAACACAGAGACCATCTCGTGTCCCGGCTCGCTGCCTCGGAGAGAACGGGAGGAGCCCGCACAGAAAGGCCCAGCCCAAAGTTCTGAGCCACGGGAACACTCTTGCAGTGTAGGAGAGGAACCCCAAATCTCTCCAAATCAACCTCAGGGTATCCAGTGTTCCTCCGAGGTCCCTGTGATTGCGGGCGTCCCCTCAGCAGCTGGCCAGGAGTGTCCTGGGGGAGCAGAGAGCCCCAGTCAGGGTTCCCAGTTCACTCACTGGTTTGGCCACCAGGTCACAGCACTGCTGGACACTCCTGGCCACATGGACAGACCTGAGTTAGCCTGGAAAAAACTTCCCGAGGTTTGGGAAGCAGCAGGACACCAGCCCTGCCTCTGCAGGAGGCTTTGGCATTGTCCAGCTTGTCAGTGGGAAGCCATTCCCGTGTCCCAGTCCCATTCCAGCTCTCCTGGAGCCCCTTTGGGCACTGGAAGGGGTTCTCAGGTGTCTCCTCTCCAGGTGAACACCCCCTGCTTCCCCAGCCCGTGCAGCACCTTGCACTTGGCCCTGCTGAGCTCCATGGCCTGGGCACGGTCCCAGCTCTGCAGCCTGCCCAGGTCCCTCAGGATTCCCCATCCCTGGCTCTGCTGTCACCGCCTGGCTGGATCAGCCCCGCTCGGTGCTTGCATGGACCTGGGCACGCAGCAAAATGTCAAGTGTGAGTCTTGGGAAGTAGGAAATGATGTGAAAAGCAGCCAGAGGAGCCCGTTCCATAATCAGGAAGCAGGGAAGGGTTTCAATTGCTGGGTTTTATAAACACAGAGCTGTTCCTACCCGGCCGCACGCGGTGCCAATGGCAACAGCCTCCAGGGGAGATGCGGAGCTGTGGCCGCGGGCAGGAGCCAGCCCCTGCCGGGAGAGCTGCCCCGCAGCGGGGGAGAGCAGCAGCCCTGGCCCGCCGTGCCCTGTGCCCAGCCCGCAGTGGCTCCCAGGGACAGCAGGAGGGGCTTTGTTCTGCTGCCTGACGTGCTGGTGTTTGCCCCCAGCAGAGTTCTGCCGCATCGACAAGGCCCTGTGCCACGACGAGGACGAGCAGCTCAGCTTCGAGGCCGTGCGCAACATCCACAAACAGATGGACGACGACGCCAACGGCAACGTGGACGTGGAGGAGAGCGACGAGGTCAGTCAGGGTCCAGGCCACTGCTGGGGGCTGCTCTCACGGTCAGGCTGCTGTGGCCAGGGCCTGGGGTTGGGCTTGGTGCCTCCTCCTCCTCACAGAGGAAGGCATGTGTCACCTTGAGATGATCCAAGGGGTGTCTCAGCATTGTCATCAGTGCTGGCTGGGGCTTTTCATCACTGCTGGGGGTTTGTAGCTACTTCACTGTTATCCAGAGCAGCTGTGGCTGCCCCTGCATCCCTGGAAGTGTCCCAGGCCAGGCTGGATGAGGCTTGGAGCAACCTGGGATAGTGGAAGGTGTCCCTGCCCATGGCAGGGGGTGGAATTAAATGAACTTTAATGTCCCACCCAACCCAAACCATTCCATGGTTTTATGTTCACTGCATTCTTCCAGCAACCAACTAAAACAGTCCATGTGTGCTCGCTGCAAAAAAGGGAACAGGTTTTTGTTGTGTCAGCCTTGGATGTTTTAGCTGATAAAGGATTGAAGAGAAAGAAGGTTGTTGTTCTTTGTTTACACAAGCACTGATGGAAATAAGAGTCTGCTGGAAAAGGGAAAGCTCTTTGTTTTAGTGTTTCCTCACTTGTGGTGGGTGCTTGTTGGAGGTGAGGAATTCTCTTCTAGGAAGAACTGGCAGCTAAACAGGAAAGTCAGAGTAGGGGAAGCTGAAAGGAAGCACGTGGGTGCAGGATCTGCTGCCACTCACAGGTAGCTCTGCAATCCCAGACTGGTTTGGGCTGGAAGAGACTTTAAATCCATCCAGTCCCACCTCTGCCATGTCAGGGACACCTCCCACTGTCCCTAAAGGCTCCAAGCCCCACTGTCCCACCTGGCCTCGGGCACTTGCAGGGACCTGGGGTCAGCCCCAGCTGCTCTTGCAGATCCAGCCCTCACAATGTCCCTCTGGAGTGGTGACCGTCCCCAGGGACACAGGCCCCTGGTCCCAGGAGCTGCTGGTTTTGGGTGGCTGTTCCCAGCTTGCAGAGCTGTTCCCTCTGCCTCAACCCCACTTGAGTGAGTAATGAAAACAATTGAAGAGCTTCCAGTTGCGTTTCCTCCACCACATGAGGTGTTTCCCTGGAGGCAGTTCCCTGCACTGAGAGGCTGGAGCTGCAGCTCAGCCTCTCCCAGGGACTGGGGCAGCCTGGGGCAGCCCAGTTCAGCCCATGTGTGCTGCTCCTTGGCATTTAATCAGGAATAAGCCTCGTGTCCTTAGGGCTGGGCAGAACTGGCAGTTTTATGTCTCTGAGCAAACCTTGGAGTCAAACCACTGGAGTCACTGGGAGCTTCTGGTACAAAACAGTGCTGGGAATGTGTGCTCAGAGCCTTGGCACAGAGACACTGCCAGGGTGGGAGGAATCCTGTGGGTTTTTCCAAAAGGCTTCAGAATCACTGTCTTGGGGCTCTTACAGCCACTCCTCAACCCCCTCTGAGCTGCATCTGAGCACTGCTGAGCCCTGGCAGGGCTGCTTCCAGCACCTCTGCTCTGCATTTAGGAGGGCAGCAGAGCTGGGAAGGGGCTGGAGCCCCAGGAGGGGCTGAGGGAGCTGGGAAAGGGGCTGAGCCTGGAGCAAAGGAGGCTCAGGGGGCCCTTGTGGCTCTGCACAAGTCCCTGGCAGGAGGGGACAGCCAGGGGGGTCGGGCTCTGCTGCCAGGGAACAGGGACAGGAGGAGAGGGAACGGCCTTAATTGAACCCCAGGGGAGATTCAGGTTGGGTATTTGGGAAAATTCCTCCTGGAAAGGGCTGTCCAGCCTGAGTGGGGCAGAAAGGCAGAATCCCAATCCCTTTCCTGCTGCCCATGCTGAGGGATCAGCCCAGGGCACAGGGATTTCAGGCTGGGGCTGATGTGGAGCATCTCCCACCAACCCCCAGCTCCCTCTCCCCAGGGCTGCTCCCAGTCCATTCCCCCCAGGCTGTTTGTGCTGGGATTGCCCTGCTTGGCTGCCCTTGGCTTGCTGCATTTCCAGTTGGACTCAGTGATTTTGGAGTGGTTTCCAAGCGCAGTGATTCCTGTCCCTGGGGTTCCATACCTGCAGTTGCAGCTCTGCCTCTGCTGAGCTTTTATTGAAGCTGCATTAGGTTCACCTGTCAATAAGCTCTGGAGCCACTGAGGGAGGCATGGCAGGAATTCCCCTCTCTGGGCTGGCTCCTGCTGGGCTCTCCCTGTCAAGGTTATCACTCTCCCCCCCACAGACCCTGCAGTCAGGTTTAACTCCGGGCTCTGCTGGGACAGCTGCTGGGGGATTATTGGGAAGAATGCAGGAGGCTCAAATTTAAACCTTTTACAGGGTTCATGGACTTCCAGGATGGTCTGGGTTGGGAGGGACTTTAAACCTCATCCAGTTCCACCACCTGCCATGGGCAGAGACACCTTCCATTATCTCTGACTGCTCTAAGCCCAGTCCAGCCTGGATTGGAACACTTCCAGGGATGGGCATTTTCCTGGTTGGTTGAGAAGTTCATATTTTCATTTATTATTTTGACCCCTACCCTTTGAGGGTAAGTGATGGGAGTATTTTGTTTAGTCTGAAACCCCTGCCTGGGCAGGAGAGGACACACAGACAATGGTACTTTTAAAAGAAGTTATGGGTGGAGTTTTGTCCCACAGCTTCACGCTGTCCATAAATCATCCTTGCAGTTTTCCTGTTGGGAAGTGAATTTTCAATGAAGTTTCAGATCACACCAGTGGCCTCGATTAAATTGAAAGAAGTGTCCCTCATGGGGAATGTTTCTAATTAGGGATCTATTCCTGTCTCCACGCTCACAGCAAAGGCAGCTCTGGCTGTTTGGGATGTGGGTTCCTGCTGCCAGGGCTCTCGGATGCTGCCAGCCTGGTTTCCTCAGGAAACAAGGTTTGTGTTGCTGCTCAGTCTTTCTCTGGCTCCTCCCAGGCCCTGATCCTGCTGCCTGGGGTCAGGCCTTGGGGCCAGGAGTTGTCTGTAATTTGGATGGAAGGGGTAGCTCAGCAAAGCTGTTGAAGTTGGGGAGCAGCGAGCTCCCGGCACGTGGCCGGGTCTGGCCCTTGGCTCCAGCACAGCGGGAGCTCGTGCTCAGGAGGGAGGGTGGCACAGATCCAGGGATGTGGGAGGGATGGGAAGGTTTGAAAAATCACTTCAGTAGTTGGAGTTTCTGCACATTAAAAAAAAAAACAACTCAAAACAGAATTCAGGGAGAGTTTGGACAACACTCTCAGGCACAGGGTGGGATTGTTTGGGATGTGCAGAGCCAGGAGTTGGACTTGATGATCCTTTTGGGTCCCTTACAACCCAGAAGATCCTGTGATTCTATGAGAAAAAAACCCTGCAGAAAATCCCATTTTGTGAGTCTGCTCATTTCTGACTGTACCTTCAGCCAGCAAGTTTGTCCCCAGTCCCTCTGCAGCTCTCCTGGAGCCCCTTCAGGCCCTGCAAGGGGCTCTGAGCTCTCCCTGCAGCTTCTCCTCTCCAGCTGAGCACCCCCAGCTCTCCCAGCCTGGCTCCAGAGGGCTCCAGGAGCAGCTCCGTGGCTCCTCTGGGCTCTCTCCAGCAGCTCCAGGTGCTGCTGCTGTTGGAGAAGATCAGCATTCCCAGGCTGAGCCTTCCCACTGTGATCCCAGTTCATCCTGGGCTTTGTAGCAGTGATTCTGGTCCTGTTGCTTTCGGCTGGTTTGACCATGGTTTGTCTTTCCCTTCAAATCCTCTTGGGATTGACTCAGTTTCCTTCTGTCCTTGTGGATTCACGGCCTGGCTGAGGTCTGTGTGGGACCTTGGAAATGTTCTGGTCACCCTCTGTACAGGACTCAGAGCTTTGGGTGTCTCCAGGCCTGGCATCAGTGGGATCTTTAACACTTGCAAGTGTTGCTTTTTAGTGGTTTGGAGGTAGGTCAGTACTCTGCACAGTGGTTCTGGTGCCTGGGCTTTGGAATTTCTGGGATGTGGAAGGTGTCCCTGTCCGTGGCAGGGGTGGGACTGTGTGGACTGTAAGGTCCCTCCCTCCCAACCCAAACCAGTCTGGGATTCCGTGGTTTTGTCTTTTCCCCAGAAGGTACTGGTGGAAAATGTGCTTTAAGGTGGTTTTGGGCTTTGGTGGGCCCAACCCAGCCCCATCCTGCATCCTCTCCCTGCTCACTTCTCAGGACATCCCCCCAGCCCAGCTCTGTCCCCTGTGCCGAGTCCTTGGGGTTTGTTTTGGCCTTTGTGAGCCCAGGGGAAGCTGAGGGATCACTTTTCCTCTCTGTGCAACCCGAGCTAAATATACAGAGCAGCAGCTGATGGTGCTGCCGGCAGGAGCTGGAGCAGGGCCGCTGCCGTGGGTGACATTGCCCGGTCACGGCGTCACCCGGCGCAGCGACGGCGCCTCTTGCCCAGGGATCGGCACAGCCCCTGCTGAGAACACAGGTTTACCCAAATTCTCCCATTTTCCACCTTTTCTGCTGGCCAGGAAGAGCCGTGGCAGCTTTTGGGCAGCAGAGCAGGGAGCCCCAGGCTGGAGCTGCCGGGCAGGGAGCCTGGAATTTAAACCTGCCCAGATCTTGTTAAAACACCATCTCCAGAGCTAAGGGTGGTTATTGGTGTGGATATCATCCTGCTGCACAGGGAAGAGCCCAGAGGTGAAGCTGCCTGTGTGGGGATCGTGTCCTGACGGGCAGGAATGCCGAATTATCCTTTAACTTGGTTCCATCTGCTGGGCACTGGAGTGTCAGTGGTTCTCTGTCTGCTGAGGATTTCACAGACTGCTTTGGGTTGGGAAGGACATCCCAGCTCCCCTGCCATGGCAGGGACACCTCCCACTGTCCCAGGAGCTCCCAATGTCCAGCCTGGCCTTGGGCACTGCCAGGGATCCAGCTGCTCTGGGCACCCACTGAGCTAGGACAGATATATTTAAATCTATTTTTCAGTGGAACTGCCTCCCCTCTTGCCCATGGCATTTGTTCCAGGCTGGATCTGAAGGTGCAGATCAAATCCAGTGATAATTTTTGGGTTTTTACTCCGTTGACATAAAGCTGCTTCCATTGTGCCACTTAGGTGAATTTTTGGTGATACTATAATTTGAAGAAAAGTCTGGAATCCCAAGACCCAAGGTTCTAATTAATTATCCCTTCTCTGTATTGAAATGAATTTAACATATTTACTCACTGAATATTTCCTGGCTGGTCTTCCCAGGAACAGAAATATTCAGGGGTACTGCAGGGAATATACTTACATCTGTATAAAAGATAGATGTGTATATCTAATATATATATATAATATATCCATTATATTTTTTTCATTTATTCAGATTTATTATGACTTTCCCAACAAAATTATTATTATTCAAATTTTTTTTTTATGCTACTCATCTCCCTAAAAGATGAATGAAAGCCTAATCCTGCTGTTAATTCCTCTTTCAGTTCTTGAGGGAAGACTTGAATTACCATGACCCAGCAGTCAAGCACAGCACTTTCCATGGAGAAGACAAGCTCATCAGTGTGGAAGATCTCTGGAAGGCCTGGAAAACATCTGAAGGTAAAAAAGGGACAAAAAGCCAAAAAATCCTTTCCCAGGAGTGCCAAAGAGTTTGGATTTCAGATGTCCTGGCCAGTGTGCAGCTCTCAGGAGGAATGTGCTGCTTTTCCTGCCTTGTTACAAGGCCTTGGACTCTTGCAGCTCCCTTTTTGAGGTTCCCTTCCAAGCTGTTAATGCTGCACCTGAGCGTGGCCAAAGTATCAGTTACTGTTTTGTTCCCCTGCCCTAAATGTGTGTTAAATGGAGCCAAAACTGTCCAATTCCAGGTTCTCCTTCAAACACTCCGTTTCAGATGGAATTTATTGTGGTGATAACATCCTAAGTATTCAATAGAGCTGCTTGGGAGCTTTCCTGCAGGTTGTGTTTCCCTTAGCAGAAACTTCTTGAACCTGAAAAACTCCTTCACAGTGAGAAGAAAGGAGAATGAAATCCAGGAAGTGTCATAAGTACAGCCCCTGTAGAAATAACTTTTAGCTGTTCCAAAATGCTGTTATTCATCCCAGCACCCAGGGAGGATGGGAATTCAGCCTCCGGTGAGAAACTTCCTGACACCTGGGAATCTTGGAACAAACTTAAGATTGGCAAGTGCTTCCCCAGTGCTGTCACACAGAATTCCACAGAAATTATTAATCCCATTTTTTTCAGTGCTCCTCATCTCTAGAACAGGAATTCTGTCTACATCCATTCCTTGAAATACTGGATATTAGTCTTCTAATCAGTTCATCAGCCATAGACATTTCAGTTTCTCACTTGTGTCCTGTTTGTATTTGACTTCTCTGTATTGGCCCTTCAGCTGCTGTGGGTGGGATGTGCTGTGTGTTTCCAGAGCTCTGGATCCAGCTGCAGGGAGTGCAGCAGTCCCTCCCATCCCAGGAGCGCTGCATGGGCACTGAGGTGCAGCATTTACAGCGTGGACTGAGAGCACAGTGCAGCTGTGCATGAGAAGGGAAGGGTCCAGGGAGAGCTCAGAGCCCCTTGCAGGGCCTGAAGGGGCTCCAGGAGAGCTGGAGAGGGACTGGGGCCAAGGGCTGCAGGGCCAGGAGCCAGGGAATGGCTGCCAGGGGCAGAGGGCAGGGCTGGATCTTGGGATCTTGGGCAGGAATTGTTCCCTGGCAGGGTGGGCAGGGGCTGGGATGGAATTGCCAGAGCAGCTGGGGCTGCCCCTGGATCCCTGGCAGTGCCCAAGGCCAGGCTGGACATTGGGAGCAGCTGGGACAGTGGGAGGTGTCCCTGCCATGGCAGGGCTGGGCATGGGTGGGCTCTGAGGTCTCTCCCAACCCAAAGCAGTCTGTGCTATCTGTGATGATTCCAGAGCTGTGTGTCCCAGACCAGGCTCTCTCCCATGGAGCTGGACAGGGATGTGTTAAAAGTTCTTGTCCACATCACTTGGCAGTGGCACAATTGCCCAGGACAGGGATGGAATCACATCCTGGGGGGATTTCACAGCCCTGTGGATGTGGCACCTGGGAGCATGGTCAGTGGTGGCTTTGGCAGTGCTGGGGACGGTTGGACTCCGTGGCCTCAGAGGGATTTTCCAGCCTCAAGGATCCTGTGATTCCATGACTCCAAGTCCCTGCATCTCCTGTGTCCAAGGAGTGCCTCTGTAAGAAATATTTATCCCATTACAGGGCTGTTTACAGATGGCTTTGCCTGGAGTGTGTTTTGCTGTCAGCTGGGAAAGGGTAGAAATCGTTAAGGGATGGAGGAGAACATCCCTTGATACTGGCCAGGCCCTGTAATCCCTGAGCTGCCTTGGCTCTGTCCCTGCCTCTGGCACACTCTGGCTGATAGAGTAAGGGACTGGTTTCTGAAGGGTGATCTCATGTCATGGAATCACAGAGAGTTTGGGCTGGGAGGGGCCAGAAACCTCATCCAGTGCCACCCCTGCCAGGTAGGGAACCTTCTACTGTCCCAGTCTGCTCCAAGCCCTGTCCAAGCTGGCCTGGAACACTTCCAGGGAAAATTAAAGCCTAATTTTGGAGTTTGAACTGAAGTCATGAAACTGGAATCAGGCTTGTAGGAAAGGTCTGCTCCTTCCTGTGGGTGTGAAAAGCAGCTGTGAAGGGCACTGACATCCTGCAGGGACAGTGTGGATGGGCCTGTTGCATTTGTTTGCAAGCCACTGCTTTTCCTCCCTTCTCTTGCTGCTGTTCCTGGTCACATGTGCACAGTAAAAAGATATTTCTGCCCCTGAATTATTGCAGAAGTTAAAGGTTGTGATGCCCTTAGGAGGTGCTGGATCCAGCAGGTGATGTCCTGGGCGAGCCTGGCTCCACCAAAGCCGTGGAAGTGAGGGCAGATCAGCCCCCAGGCAGGGTTCTTGGTGCCTGTGCATGCCACCAGCTCGCTTCTCAGGGACTTCTCCCAAAGGAAACAGCCCTGGATGTGGAAGTGAGAGAAGCCAGGGGCTCTGGAGGGGCCCAGTGCTGATGGCTGGGCACGTGGCCTCAAGCCCTGTGGCGAGGCACCGGTGCTGTCACCATGCAGGGCCTGTGGCTTCTCCCACCCCTTCCATTGGTAACACCCTGCTTGTGCCCCCAGTGTGGGGGACCCTGACCAGGAGCTGTGGGGAGCTCCCTGCAGCCAGGATGGCTCGGTGGCTTGGCCTGTGCCACCCTGCAGCTGAGTCAGCGTGCCAGTGTCCATGGGGATGGCACCTTCCTTTGGAGCCTTGCTGTCCTTGCTCAGCCCTGGGCTCTGCCTCAGCTCCCTCAGCTTCATCCACTCAGTTAGCTCTCTGAGCTCCATCTCTGAGCCCTCTTATCTCCACCAGAGCCTTCATCTATCTCCCTCAGCTCTCCCAGATCCCTCATCTCGCTCATCTCTCTCATCTTATTTCTCTGAGCTCCAGCTCCCTCAGCTCTGAACTCCCTCAGCTCCCTCATCTCTCCCAGACTGCTGCTCCCTCCTCTCCCTCAGCTCCCTCATCTCTCCCAGAGGCTGCTGCCTCCTCTCCCTCAGCTCCCCGTGGGCGGTGTTGGGCTCCCTGGAGCTTGGGAAGATGTTTCTCCTGCTCGTGGGCCCGCTCAGGGCTGGCACTGCAGCAGAGCCCTGCAGCCCTGCCCACAGCAGGGACAGAGGATGATGAACTGAAGTGTGACAAAGCTCCAATAAAAACATCTGCTGTGTCCAGGCCAGGCTGGACATTGGGAGCACCTGGGACATCGGAGGTGTCCTGCCCATGGCAGGGGTGGCTCTGGGTGGGCTCTGAGGTCCCTCCCAACCCAAACTAACGTGGCATTCTGGGATTGTCTTTGCCTTCAGAGCACTGCTGTAAGTACAACACAACAAAGTGGCAAAGGCAGGAGCTTGGTTTCCTAAGGTTCCCTCACTTACGGCTCTGGAGCTGCAGGAGAGCTCCAAAAATAATCCACTGGTGCTGAGGGGAGGAGGTTTAGGAGCAAAGTTCAGCTGGTTCACTTGTGCTGCACCACCTGCTCCACCTCCTCCCACAGATCCCTTCTCAAGTCAGTCTTCTCTGGTATTGCTCCATATGTGTGTTTTTTAGTCAAAACTCAGAGGGAATCCCAGACTGGTTTGGGTTGGGAAGGGGCCCCATGGCAGGGACACCTCCCACTGTCCCAGGTGCTACAAGCTCCATCCAGCCTGGCCTGGGACACTGCCAGGGATGGACAATCCATCCTGGAAGCCACATCCTCTGGATGGTGCCTGGATCTGGAGCAGGGGGTGAGGCTTCAGGAGCTGCCCTCAGAGTTCCAGGGCTTTGGGCATGTGTTGAGGATGAACATTCCCTGGTGGGAGTTTGGAGGCAGCAGGATCACCGGGCTGATGGAAATGCCAGTGGTGCCATCTGTCACCTGGCAGCACTTTGGGTGTTGGCCCTGCCAGGGTGCCAGGCCTGAGCTCTGCTGGTGCCGTGGCAGGAGGTGGAGCCCCTGCTGCTCCTCTATCTGATGGCCTCCTTGCATGTGTTAATTTGGGGAGCTGGGAACACAGGGAAAACCAACCCTGGGAAAGGAGTGCTGTCACGGGGAAAGCTCCAGGCAGCTCTTCCCACACCATGTGGGGTCTGTGGGGGCTCAGGTGCAGCAGAGCTTCAGGAGTTCCTGGAGTCTGGGCAAAAATATTCCCATGAGGGGAGGCTGAGGTCCTGCAGGACTGCCCAGGGTGTCACACTGCCAGAGGGCAGGGCTGGATGGGACCTTGGGCAGGAATTGTTCCCTGGCAGGGTGGGCAGGGGCTGGGATGGAATTGCCAGAGCAGCTGGGGCTGCCCCTGGATCCCTGGCAGTGCCCAAGGCCAGGCTGGACATTGGGAGCAGCTGGGACAGTGGGAGGTGTCCCTGCCATGGCAGGGGTGAGAATGGGTGGGATTTAAAATCCCTCCCAACCCAAACCTGTGACTCCCTGATGCTCCATGTACCCAGAATGAGCTGTTGGCCTGTTTTGCTCTCCTCAGTGTACAACTGGACGGTGGACGAGGTGGTTCAGTGGCTCATTTCCTACGTGGAGCTGCCCCAGTACGAGGAGACCTTCCGCAAGCTGCAGCTGAGCGGCCACGCCATGCCCAGGTCAGTGCCAGGCCCTGGTCAGAGCCAGGCCAGGGTCAGTGCCAGGCCAGGCCCTGGTCAGTGCCATGCCCAGGTCAGTGCCAGGCCCTGGTCAGAGCCAGGCCAGGGTCAGTGCCAGGCCCTGGTCAGTGCCAGGCCAGGGTCAGTGCCAGGTCCTGGTCAGTGCCAGGCCAGGCCCTGGTCAGTGCCATGCCCAGGTCAGTCGCAGGCCAGGCCCAGGTCAGTGCCAGGCCAGGGTCAGTGCCAGGCCCTGGTCAGTGCCATGCCCAGGTCAGTACCAGGCCAGGGTCAGTGCCAGGTCCTGGTCAGTGCCAGGCCAGGGTCAGTGCCACACCATGCCCAGGTCAGATCCAGGCCCAGGACAGTGCCAGGCCAGGGTCAGTACCCACAGTGTCCCCATGGGATGTGTGCAGGGAAAGAACCAGGGCCTGACAGGAGTCAGCTCCTGTCATCACCTGAAGTTCCTTGGCATATGCCCAGCCTGATTCCTGCTCCAGCTGAGAGTGAAAAGAGGGGGAATTGGGGTTAGATATAGGGCAGGAATTGTTCCCTGGCAGGGTGGGCAGGGGCTGGGATGGAATTGCCAGAGCAGCTGGGGCTGCCCCTGGATCCCTGGCAGTGCCCAAGGCCAGGCTGGACATTGGGAGCTCCTGGGACAGTGGGAGATGTCCCTGCCATGGCAGGGCTGGGAATGGGTGGGCTCTGAGGTCCCTCCCAGCTCAAACCATTCCATGATTTCATGTAAGAGAAACACTGGCTGGGAGTCCACCTAAACTTGTAACAGGTCTGAGACACCTCAGGGCAGCTTTTTTGGATGATGGTTCCTGTTGCTGAAAAAGGAGCTTTTCAACTGACTGGGAAGGAGGGATTAACTGGGGATAAACTGAGGATGTTTCTGAGGCAGCACAGTGTGTGTCCACATTCCTTCCAAGGGAGAACTGTGGTTTATGGTCTGTGACACAGGATATAAAATTGAAATTTGGTTCAAAAGTAGTTATTAGTGATTGGTAAGACACCAAAAGATGGGAAATCAGTCCCTCATGCTGTCGGGTTAATGAATTAGGCCTGGCCCTGGTTTTTCCTGCTCTGTCCCAGTCCTAAAACTGCTGCAGTGAAGTGTCCTAGAGACACCCTGGTTCAGGGACAGCAGCAGGGAGGGATTTGTCCTGGGGGCAGGGAGCTCCCAGGCCCTGCTCCATGTCTCCCCAAGCCCTGCTGTGTTGCTGGTGGAGGTACCCACAGCTCGTTTCTCCCCCGTTGTGCAGGCTGGCAGTGAACAACGCCACCATGATGGGGACTGTGCTCAAAATGACCGACCGCAGCCACCGGCAGAAGCTGCAGCTCAAGGCTCTGGACACGGTGCTCTTCGGGCCTCCTCTGTGTGAGTACCCAAACTCCAGCTGCCAGCCCTGGGAGGGACCCCCAGGCCCCTTGGATGGGGATCTGTGTGTGCTCAGAGGGCTGGCTGGCCCAGCGCAGCCTCTCCCAGGCTGCTCCCAGCACGGCTCCCCTGGAGCAGGAGCAGGCTGCTCCCCTGGAGCAGGAGCAGGCTGCTCCCCTGGAGCAGGAGCAGGAGCAGGCTGCTCCCCTGGAGCAGGAGCAGGCTGCTCCCCTGGAGCAGGAGCAGGCTGTTTCTGGATGCATGGGAGCAGCTCTGGAGGCACCCTGGGCTGGCACTCCCATCTCGGAGAGCTGTTCCCAGAGGTGCAGCTGGGATCTCCCCTGTCCTGCTGGGATCCCCTGTGTGCACAGCCTGCTGCCCCTCTGTGCTGCTGAGGGTGGGGGCGAGGTGCCTGAGGGCAGCGACCCTGCCTGCTCCCAGGGAAGCTGCTGCCATGTCCTGGAGCTCTCATCCTGTCCTGGCCTTTCCTGGGGCTGCTCTGTCACATCCCGAGGCTCTGCTGGTGACTCAGGCTGTGAATTACCCACCTCTGGAGGAGGGAAGGAGTTGAGGATGGCTGCTGTGAGGCCCTGGGCTCCTTTGATGCTTTATCAGGATCTCAAGCTCTCTGATGTGTGTCTCCACGCTCCAGGTGCTCCCTTTGCCATCCATATTTGCTCCCTATTAAAGGTACTTTTGTCTCTCTCCTTCTCTGGCATGGCTTTCTCCTGGGCTTTGGGTGCAGAGACTGGAATCCCTCCTTTCCTGCTGCCCCTGCTGAGGGATCACCAGAGGAATTTAAGCTAGGGCATGTCCAGCCTCTCCCACTCCAGCACCCCCAAGTCCTTCTCCCCAGCCATTCCCACCCAGTCCTGGGAAAACTGCCTGCAAGCGTGAGCCACAGCGTGAGGCTTGGCAGAGCCAGAGGAAGGCAATCACAAGCCTGGGTTGTACAATCAGCCATTTTTGCCCACAGGTATTGAAAAGCCTCCTTTTGTACAGGCACAGTTGGGTTTTTATTTCTTGCCTGTGTTAAACACGAAGCTCTTTGGTGAGTTGGTGGCCTGGTGGAGCTGGCCTGGGTGAGCTCCTGCAGCAGCAGCTCCAGCCCAGCCACTCCTGTGCTGGGGGTGGAATCCCTCCAGCGCTGCCGTGTGCTGTGTAAATGGCTGAGGGAATGGCTTGTACTGGCTGGGAATTAATGTGTGTTCCCCAGGCTGGAGCTGTTCTGTTCCGCCCCGCAGCTCCCCTGGCCCCGCAGCCTGGCCCTGCCCGGCTGGCGCGGATCAAAGTGCGCAGGGGAGCGCGGCGGGCGGGCTGCTCCGCACCCAGGGCTGCTCTCACCCTCAGCCCCCTGCCTGGAAACCTTCCAGGGCTGGGCTGGACGGGGCTTGGAGCAGCCTGGGACAGGGGAAGGTGTCCCTGCTCACGGCAGGAGGTGGAAGGATGAGCTTTATGGTCCCTCCCAGCCCAAACCATTCCATGGTTCTATGACTGAGCATACAGGGTATGTGAGGAGAGGAAATACCCTTGAAATCTGCAGCTGAAGGGGAGATTTATCCCTTTTCAGAAGGTAAAATTTTCTGGTTTCTGGTCACCTGAATGGCTTTGGCTCCAGTCATGGGGGAGAGGCTGTTTATCTAAACCAATTCCTTCAGGAATGGATTGCAAAACACCTTTCAGCAATGGGCTCAGTGAAGTGCTCAGTGACCTTTTAAGCTGCAGAGGCTGCTCTACACCTTTCCCAGGGGAGGTGGCTCTGGAGGGGAGCTGGGCTCTGGGGCTGGCAGCAGAATGTGGAGCACAGGTACAGAGTTTCAAGGCTTTGTCTCCTCTCTTGAAGCTCTGTGTTGCCAACTGTGTAAAAACATCAAATGAAAGCAGCCTCGGTTGGAACCCCAGTCCTGCTGCAGGCTCCTGAATGCAGAGACACCCTGCTGTCCGTGGGGATCACAGCACGTGGGCACAGTGCTGTTCCTGCTGCTGGGTGAAGCTTTTCCCAGCCCAGGGCTCCAGGGGTGGGTGTCTGGCTCGTGGCAGAGGTTTCAACCAGTTTCCATGGCCAGTTTCCACATGGATTTGCAGGCTCCTGCTGTCCCTCCAGCTCTGGTTCCTGCTGCCAGACTCCAGCCCTGCCATTTCCTACAGCAAACAGGTCTGACCACCTCAGTTCTGTAATTAATCCAAGTGCAAGGGAGCATGGTACAATTATAATCTAAGCAAGATGAGGTGATTGCTTCTTCTGTGTCTGTCCCTTTGGGGTTCTGTTCTTGTGGTTCAGGAATTTATCTGGCACAAAATAGCACAACTTCAGGTGAAACATGGAATCCCAGACTGGTTTGGGTTGGGAGGGACCTCAGAGCCCACCCATCCCAGCCCTGCCATGGCAGGGCCACCTCCCACTGTCCCAGGAGCTCCCAATGTCCAGCCTGGCCTTGGGCACTGCCAGGGATCCAGGGGCAGCCCCAGCTGCTCTGGCAATTCCATCCCAGCCCCTGCCCACCCTGCCAGGGAACAATTCCTGCCCAAGATCCCAAGATCCAGCCCTGCCCTCTGCCCCTGGCAGCCATTCCCTGGCTCCTGGCCCTGCAGCCCTTGGCCCCAGTCCCTCTCCAGCTCTCCTGGAGCAGCTCCGTGGCTCCTCTGGGCTCTCTCCAGCAGCTCCAGGTGCTGCTGCTGTTGGTGTCCCAGGGCTGGAGGCTCTGCAGGTGCAGCTTTGCTGCTTCTGAACTTGGGAGAGAACTTTCTGTAATTTCGGCTCTTTCCCTGCTGCTCCTGTGCCCCAGGCAGAGACCGAGGGCACCGCGGCCGTTCCACGGAGCCTCAGATCGTTCCTGTGCACTTCACTGGGATTTAAACCCCTCTGGATTTGTCCCTGGCAGCGGGGCTGGCACAGCCTGTTGTGCACTCATGTGGCCGTGGCTGCTCCCAGCACAGCTCACACCTGCAGAGGCTGCAGGAAGAGCCACACACACCATGGAAAACAGACTGCTGTGCCCTTCTCCTTTGCTTTTATTGAGGGAAGGAGGGATTTGGGAAAGGCACAGCTTTATCACAGACTGATTGTTCTGCTCAGCTGCAGGGCTTGATGTCCTGCCGGGTTTGCAGCTCTGCCTGGGCTTTGTGTTTGAAAGAAGGTGAAATAATTGAACAAGGGGGAAAGGTCTGGAACTGCAGGAGGGTTGATTTGGATTAGATACCAAAAAAAAGCATCTATATTGAAGGTGAGAAAATGGAGATGCTCCCAGGGCTGGAGCCCTCTGCTCTGGGGCTGCAGGGCCAGGAGCCAGGGAATGGCTGCCAGGGGCAGAGGGCAGGGCTGGATCTTGGGATCTTGGGCAGGAATTGTTCCCTGGCAGGGTGGGCAGGGGCTGGGATGGAATTGCCAGAGCAGCTGGGGCTGCCCCTGGATCCCTGGCAGTGCCCAAGGCCAGGCTGGACATTGGGAGCTCCTGGGACAGTGGGAGGTGGCCCTGCCATGGCAGGGCTGGGATGGGTGGGCTCTGAGGTCCCTCCCAACCCAAACCAGTCTGGGATTCCATGTTTCACCTGAAGTTGTGCTATTTTGTGCCAGATAAATTCCTGAACCACAAGAACAGAACCCCAAAGGGACAGACACAGAAGAAGCAATCACCTCATCTTGCTTAGATTATAATTGTACCATGCTCCCTTGCACTTGGATTAATTACAGAACTGAGGTGGTCAGACCTGTTTGCTGTAGGAAATGGCAGGGCTGGAGTCTGGCAGCAGGAACCAGAGCTGGAGGGACAGCAGGAGCCTGCAAATCCATGTGGAAACTGGCCATGGAAACTGGTTGAAACCTCTGCCACGAGCCAGACACCCACCCCTGGAGCCCTGGGCTGGGA